TATTAATTATAAGATTTAAATTTTGTTTCTTGTTTTTAAATTTTATGTCAGGATATGGTTATACAAGCTCTTCAGAAAACTAATAACAGAAGTATAGAAGCTGCAATTGAATTCATTAGTAAAATGAGTTACCAAGATCCTCGACGGGAACAGATGGTTACAGCAGCTGCCAGACCTATTAATGCCAGTTTGAAACCAGGTGATTAATCAAACTTTTCCCCTACTTTTATTTTATAGCATTGTTTTAAAATATAAGTATATCAAATCTTTAGTCTAAGAAGTTGGTAAAAGCATCACAGTAAGTGAAAGTCTCAGATTAGGATAACAACATTACAGTGTTACACCAGATCAAAATGAATGAGAGGAAGGGCCCTAAAGTTCCATAGGTAATTCTGATAGCAGCAGTAGTTAAGAACTACTTAATTATTTATATTGCAACTGAAATATTTCTTTTTAACCACAAACATAATTCAAACTATTTATTATTATAAGAGTAAAAACATGTTTATCATAGAATATTTAGAAAGTAATAAGCAAAAAGAAACCACTATTTATACCCACAAGATTTTGTTGTGTTTTGTTTCTCAGTCTTTTTTCCTGTGGAAAACCTGGGTAGGTTTATACATGTGTATTTTGATTCTTTTGTTTAAGCAAAAAATGGGTCATACCCAAACCTATTTCATTCACTTAATATACCATGCATAACTTTCCTTATTATTAAATGGAATGATTTTAATAGCTACATATAAATAGATTTATCACATACTTTATTTAACCAGTCTCAATTTTGACATTTGTCTTGTTTCCCTTTTTTTTGCCATTATAAATGCATTGTTCCTAAATATTTATACATTCCTAATGATTTTGTTAAATTTTTTAAAACTTGCAAAAATTTAAGGCTTCTCTTAGATTTTGCTGTCAGAAAGATGTTACCAACTTTATATTCTCCCAATCAGTTTAATATGCGAATTCCTATATTTGTAAGTCTTAGGTATTATCATTTTTAAATGTTTTTTTAAATTATTTTATTTTATTGATTTTTTTACAGAGGAAGGGAGAGGGATAGAGAGTTAGAAACATCGAGAGAGAAACATCGATCAGCCGCCTCCTGCATACCTCCCGCTGTGGATGTGCCCGCAACCAAGGTATATGCCCTTGACCGGAATTGAACCAGGGACCTTTCAGTCCACAGGCCGACGCTCTATCCACTGAGCCAAACTGGTCAGGGCTATTATCATTTTTAAAAAGAATATGAACTCCATGGGCCATCCAAATTGTTTTATTCAAATGGAGGATTTTTTGTTGTTGGTTTTTGTTGTTGTTTTTTAATATATCTTTATTGATTTCAGAGAGAGGAAAGGAGAGATAGAAATAACAATGATGAGAGAGAATTATTGATTGGCTGCCTCCTGCACATCCCTCACTAGGGATCAGTCCACAACTTGGGCATGTGCCCTGACTGGGAATTGAATCATAACCTCCTGGTTCATAGGTCAACACTTAACCACTGAGCCACACTGGCAGGACAGTGTTATCATTTTACATCATTTATAGGTTATTTTTGAATTGGCATTTTAATTCTTTGTTAATCTTGTGTTTGTTAGAGGCCCAGTACTTGAGTTTGTGCATGGGTGGGGTCCGGGAGGCCTGGCCCCAATCAGGGTGGATCGGGGCCCAGCCTGTCAGAGGAGGAGATGGTGGGAGGTTGGCTGCTGGCCGCCCCCCTCCCGCCCCCCAATCAAGCTGGTTTGCTGGCCGTAGTAGGCATCATAGCGACTGGTCATTACGGTTGTTATGGCGTTACAGTCACTGGCTTTATAGATAGATAGATAGATAGATAGATAGATACATAGATAGATAGATAGATAAGAGGCCTCATTCATTTTTTCTTTCAGCACATTTTTATTTTTATTTATTTTTTAAAATATATTTTTATTGATTTCAGACAGGAAGGGAGAGGGAGAGAGATAGAAACATCAATGATGAGAGAATCATTGATTGGCTGCCTCCTGCATGCCCCCAACTGGGGATCAAGCCCACAACCCAGGCATGTGCTGCTGACTGGAATTGAACCCAGGACCCTTCAGTTCACAGGCTGATGCTCTATCCACTGAGCCAAACCAGCCAGGGCTCAGCACATTTTTATTGATCAACTGTTTCAGGCCCTTTGCTGGGCATTGGGTATAAAGTTCTTGCCCTTTTATGGAGTTGCCATTCTAGTAAGGAAGATCAAATACACAAATACATGTGGAATTATAACTGCATAAGTGTGAATGAAGAGGGGAGAGTTCCATGGTACTGTAAACTCATAGAATAGAGTGATTTTTTTTTTAACCTAATCAAGGAGATCAGAGAAAACCTTCCTGTGAAACTAATAATAGAGCCAGTATCTGAAGAAAGACAAGAGAATGGCTTTAGTGAGGAAGAATGTCCTTATGCATGGCCTGTTTGAAAGGTTTTGATACCACATTCGAAGAAATGAAAATGGCTAGAGCACTGACAACAAAAGTATGAGATGTGACTGGAGAAGGACTGTTGATTTTATCGTAAGAACAGCAGACAGTTATGGAAACATTTCAAGTAGGGTGATGACAAGATTAGATTTGTGTTTTTAAAACATGGCTGCAGGGGATGAAGAACAGATTAGAGAGAGCAAGAGATGGTATCTGGATAGACTTGATAAGGGACTGTTCACAGGAAATGGAAGTATTCTGGACTCAATGGCAGTGGAATACAGTGAATGAATTAAGAGAGATGGGGAGAGTAAAATTGACAAGGATTGGTGATTCTATATGGGTGATGATACTAGAGAGGGATGACTCTTTAGGCTTTTGGTTTGGAAAACGGATGGTGATACACTACATTATGAAAGAGAATACTAAGAGAGAACAGGATTTGGAGAAGAAAGATCATAAGTCTGGTTGTAGACATGAGTTTGAGTTAGGCTCATTGAGTTATCGAAATGAAGATGCCAAGTAGGAAGCTAATTAGATATATACAGTTCTTGTATTAGCCTTACATATGAAATAGGTCACCTAAAGGAGGTAATAACAGACAAAAATGACAGTATGGACTATAACCAAGCTTACTGCTTTGTAGCTGATAGGAGAGGATAAGATTGCAAAGAAGACAGAAAATTTAGCTAAAAGGAGTTTAAAAACCAATATGGTTTTAGTATCTTGAAAGCCTACAGAAGAGAATGTTAAAGAAGGGGAAGGAATAGAGGG